GGCATTAACTGTGTGGCGTTTATCGTGCTAACCCGGTACCCAACTCGACGTGGGGGAAAAGGCGATATCCTTACAAGGATCGGGGAACAACCTCCTGGCTTGCCAGCAAAGTGGCGGATCCCGGTGCTCCATTTGGACGATTCCAACGAAATCATCGATTCGCTTGCTGGACTTGATAAAGTTGAAGGCCTGTTTGTCCGATCACTTTGGAAAAAGCCACATCGCCGTCCAGCTCCTCCTATTAACCCTTGCGCGTCAGTCGACTTTGTCGCCGAGTCCTACGACTACATCCGCCAGTGGGTTATCCGAAACTACCCCGACTCTTTCGACTACGACCAGATCGCGTAGTCTGCAGTCTGTGCATTTGCGTCCCGGAGTTAGTTTCCCAAAGGCTCCATGTATCGTCATAGGCGATACTTGGGCTAAATTGTGCCCAGAGGACACATGGGTTTCAGACGCAACGCGGGATTTGGTCGGGTTTCAAGACCTCACTCTTGATGGGTTGGGTTTGCACTCTTACTTATATACGGGAGTCGAAAACCTGACTCTGGATGGGTTGGGCTTGCACATTTGCTTGCATGGTGGGGTTTGAAAATCTGACTCTTCATGGGGTTGGGCTTGCACTCTCAGTGGGGTTTGAAAACCTGACTCTTGATGGGGTTGGGTTTGCACTCTCAGTGGAGTTTGAAAATCTGACTCTTGATGAGGTTGGGTTTGCACTCTCTAGTGGGGTTTGAAAACCTGACTCTTGATGGGTACGGTTTGCCGAATTCGTACGTATATGGGTTTTGAGACCTCATTAGTGGGCATCTTTACCTGTCCATTTTATATTTATTATATAATTCGCTATATTAGGTGTCCCGTCTTCTATGCTCGTGTACTGTGGGTCAAATTATTATTGTAATTTGTGTATGTGTGTGTGTGTGTCTGATTGTGTGTTGTGTGTTGTGTGTGTGTGTGTTCACACACGTGTGTGTATATTGTGCACTTTAATATTGTATGTGTGCATGTGTGCATGCATGTGTGTGCGGGGCAGTGTACATGTGGGCTTTGTGTATCGTGCTGCTGTTGTCGGTTCTGGGTGTGCATATATGTGTGTACATGTGTGGGTCATGTACATGCACGGACTTGCCTGTTATCAGCTGCGACACAACCGCCGTGCTCATGAGGAACCTCGAGCATGTATGTGCACGTGTACGACGAATCGAATGCGCTATAGTACATGTAGTGTGCGAACATGAACGCATTACATGGTGCACTTTAAAGATCGATGGACAAGCAGGGGCGGGATAGTGCATATGTGTAGCTCATGACCTATTTATATGTTCGAAGGCATGTACTACATGTCTAGACTGACATACGTACTACATGTACGCATATATATACTATATATCATGATATCTAGAGCTCGGTTCCATATAATTAATTCCAAGCAGTTTTTGCGATGCCCGGCCGTTGGGCCATTTTGGCCAATGGCGCCTCGAAGAGGAAGGCAAGAGGTGCGGCCACCCCCTGCATGCTCAGCTGCAGTGCCGAGATGAGTTGTTGTGCTGCACTGCACGTGTGCGACATGTCAGATTCGGGGCTCGAGAATGTGTACGAGTGCGGCAGCATGATATGCTAGGACACTTCGATGTTTAAAGGTTCGGATCGGCCGGAGCTTGGTGCGACTTTCAATTGCAAAGAAAACTGCATGTGCATAGATACCACAGACTATATAGTCAGCATGGAGGGCGATGGCTTCAAGATCATGGAAGGTGTTCGCAGCGACCCCAAGACTGGCGAACTGATTCAGGGCAAACAGGTCATTCGACCAGTTCGGTTTTTCGTCAGCGAGACTCAACTTAAAATCATCGGTCTGCGTTTTTTCATATCGATGCCCTGGTGCATGATGGCACAGACCCGAGGACCAGGCCTTGCTGATCGTATCGGCTTTGCGAGCGAATGTGGAAGCCCGCCTCGGCGAGCTCAGACGCGACCCGGCGACTCAACTGCGAATTGTGTCTCGCTCATATAAGGATCCTAATAAGCTATAGGGGGGATACTTACCGAAACCATAATAGTAATTCCTATTATATCATATTATAGAAGCCCTATTTTCTACTATTAGGAGCCTTCGGGTAGACGACGTTTCCATCATGTCTTTGGAGCCTAGGAGACCCGGATCATAGATATCCCGGATAGCGAGACGACGAAGATTCAGAAAGAGGATATCCAAAACCAGAAGAATTTCTCTGTGATGAAGGCTTACTGTGCCTGCCTGTTCGAGGGAATTTCCGAAAGAAAGCAGCTGATCAGCTGCAAGGAGCATCGGTCGGCTGTTTGCTACCTGGCTTTGGTTTACGAGTTGATTAAGATCAAAAAGGAGGCAGGAGCGAAGACGAAGTTCAAAGAATGGGGGGAGTTGCAGGGTACACGCCTGCGCTGGTTGGCAAGCTACGTCATCCACAGTGTGAACCGGACTACCTTTTCGAGGACAGCACCACGGCACATGCAATACGAACACTTGGCTTTGATTGAGTGAGTGTTTTAATTAGCCGGATGCATAGCAGGACGGACGAACTTGCTATCCTCAAGGGCATTCACCTGGCCGTCAATGGTCGCTCCCTTCCTGAGAAACCAATGCGAAAGCTTTCGGATGCGAGCATGAGCTCAGCAGAGGTGCATGCGCTATTTATTATATATAGTACTATACTAAAACTATTATGTACTATGCAAAAAAAAGCTAGTGCTATTGTTGTTTGTTGTGGTTGTTTTGGCTTTCCAGGATATCCCTTTGTTGAGCTTAAGCCCAGCAGGTGACTGGTGAGGAGGTCGAGGATGAGAACCCGGAACGCGATGAGATATTCGAGATTTTTTCGGATGACGAAGATGGAGTTTCTTGAGCTCGCAATTATATATACATCGTTGCGGGTTCACGCTTTTCGAGGTCGGTGTTTGAGTTTGCGGTTTATGCTTGCAGATATCCTCATGAGTTCCGGTGAAGCCAATAAGGTTCCGAGCGAAGAAATCCCGACGCCATCCCACGAGGTTTTGCAAGGGGTTGTTAGGTGCTGACGGGTTGTTCATATTTGTGCAGGAGAGCCCCGGTACTTTGCATGCCAATTGCCTCCGCCCCGACTTGCATGGCCAGGTCGCTTGCATTGCAATAATTGAGCTGAGTTTAGGCTTTTAGACATGTAGCATAGGATGCGACATTTCCATGGCCATGGTTGGTTTCATTGGAGTCTGGTATCCAAGGTTCCGAGCGAAGAAATGCCGATGCCACCCTACGAGGTCTATAGGGTTTTTCATGTTGCTGAGGGGTTGTAAATTTTACATCGACACATAGCCTGTGTGCAGGGGAGCCCCGATATGGATGCCAATCGCCCCCATCCCGACTTGCATGGACAAGTCGCTTGACTTTAGACCCTTAGTGTGTGGGGCTTCCTGGGTTGATTTCAGTCCCATCCGTTGAATCGAAGCCAAGGTCCCGGGCGAAGAAATCCCAACGCCATCCCACGAGGTTTGCCAGGGGTTTCCAATTGCTGACGGGTTATTTATGTATTGCCTGTGCAGGAGAGCCGTATTATGGATGCCGATGATCACCATCCCGATGGCCAGGTCGCTTGAGTCTAGACGTTTGAGATGAAGGGGTTTCGTGGGTTTAGCGGGTTTTGACATTTACGTTTTTGTGACATAGTTCGATCCCAGGTTGCGACCCACGACGAGTCATGTATGTACATCGACAGTGACACCGAGTCAGTTCAAGCTGGCGGAGCTGACGAGGATCCTGTTTAGTGTATACATGTAAGCATGACCGCGAATATGTAGATGCAGGAGAGCATGGCACATAACATGATGCCCATTGGGTGGGCGGACGCACGGCTGCATTACAAAAGAATTTTCAGGGTCTACTGAGTCCCCTAAGACCGTCGACTCCACCTCGCCTATAGGACCGGATCCCGATTCAAGACCTACCGGCCGACCTCCTCAAGGACTGCAATATAATTGAGTGTAGTACCTTTGAAAAATGATATTCCAGGCAAGTTGTCGTGGACAGTTGCATGTCTGCACGCAAGGGCCCTTCGCGATCGAGTGCTCTCGAGGTGACTTGCATGTCGATTCTATTTGTCATGTACGTGCATGTGAATATTGGTGTCTAGACCTCCCAAACCAAAGCCCGAACCTTACGCATGTGAGGCTGAAGCACCACCTACGACATCGATGGGCCGAGTGCCCTTTATGCAAGCTATACACATATATTGTATCTGTCCGGATCCTAGATCGATCTACTGGTACTGGGGCACTAACACGTGATGAGGCTCCAGATTTGGCGACCGCCGTGAGTGGCGATGACTTAGAGAAGCTTGTGCCTTGGCGGGTAAGACATAGAGCGAGCCAGCAGTTCAAGTAATATTGCATATGTAATAATATATATATATATATAAACAAATATATATAAACATATATATATATATATATATATATATAAAATACGTACACGTAGACATGATATGTGCCTATATATATATATGTATATATATATATATATATATATATATATTATATACTGGGCTAGATATACTGGGCGGTAGGAGTGCATTGCAATTGTATGTATGTATGTATATATATATATACATCAATAAACAAATATAAATAAATAAATAAATATATATATATATATACATATATAACCTATCTATGTATGTGGTTCTCAAGGCGAATGACCTGAATGCTATGCTTGCAGAGATGAGCGACTCTCAGATCTTCGATGTTTCTTGGATGTGATTATAGTGAGGGTGTGGCTGTATATATGCACACACGTATGTCTGCAGTTTTAAATCTATGTACTGGCACCTGTGTGAGCATGCCCAAGGGTAGTTATATACTAATATTAGGGTGTGAGACGAGGCCGAAAGCCACGTGATTGCCAATAGTGAGCTAGAGCATGCATGCTGATATGGATCATGCGCTTTTGAAACACTATATTAATTTAGGGTGCCTGCAGTGCTGTTTGCATGGCGATTGTAGTTTGAGACGAGGCCGAAGATCATGTGATTGCCGCGAGTGAGAACATCCATGCTGAAATGGATCATGTGTCTTCGAAGCAGTATACGTTAGTACTACTAGTGTGCTTGCACATGTGCTTGCATGCCAGGGGTTGTGTTTCAGTCTAAGAGTCTAGGCCGCAGACCGGGTGATTGCTTTGAGTCAGAGCATCCACGCTGAGATGGATCATGTGCCTGGGTTCGCAGCAAATGATCCTCGATATGAGTGGTTGCACATATTAGGGTAAAAACGAGGCCGAAGGCGATGCGATTGCAGCGAGTGTGCAGGGCATCCATGCTGAGATGAGTCGTGTGCCTGGGTTGGAAGCATGAACTCCTCAATAACACTGTTAGAGTGCTTGCAGTAGTTGGTTGTATGACAAGGGTGGTGTCGCCGAAGATGCCGCGATTGTCGCCAGTCGTGATCAGGGCGGCATCCATGCTGAGATGAACCATGTGCCTGGGTTCGAGGTATACCTCAATAAATGATATTCTAGAGTGCTTGCAATAGTTGGTTGTATGCCAAGGGTGGTGTCGCCGAAGATGCCGCGATTGCCGCGAGTCGTGATCAGGGCCTCCATCCTGAGATGAACCGTGTGCCTGGGTTCGAGGTATTCCTCAATAATGATATTCTAGAGTGCTTGCAATAGTTGGTTGTGTGCCAAGGGTGGTGTCGCCGAAGATGCCGTGATTGCCGCGAGTCGTGATCAGGGCAGCCATGCTGAGATGAATCGTGTGTCTGGGTTCGAAGCCAGTTTATAATGTCCTCAACAGTACAAGACTGCTTGCACGTGTGATTTAAGGGTACGGCCGGTAGTGATCCGAGGCCGAAGACCACGTGGTTTCCGCGAGTGAGAGCATCCATGCTGACATGAAGCATGTGCCTGGGAATGTGCGAGTGTTAAGTGCATTCCAGATATATGTGTATATATATATATATGGTATGCATGTGACATTTTGCACAAGATACGAGTAGTGATGAGGCCGAAGATCTGATGGCTGCTCCGGCTGGTGAGGGTCACGATCTGCTTATGACTGCCCCTGTGCCTTTGCATTAGTGCCCAAAACCCCGACATCTGTGTGTGTGTGTGTGCTATCATGTGCTTGTGTAGTCAGAACACTCTGAGCGACAACCGGACCAATCATTTGACCTCAAAATAGAAAACACAGGGCATCGGTAGCTAAGGTTACCGTTGCTCCGGGCCGAGAAATCCCCGCTGAGGTGGGTGTCATGGTACCAGTGCCTTTGAACTTATATGGGGTGCATGTGTGCATGTACATGAAACCATCGACACAAATCTGAGGCCTCACGCGAGCTTCTTGCTCCGAGCCACGGCATCGGTGATGCTGGGATGGATGGAGTGCCCTTGAAGTAATTAATATCAAGGGTACATTGCCGGCAGTGCGACTTTTCACGCATGTGTGTGTGTGTGTGTTTGTGTGCTTCTGTCTTTCGTGCCACTACAATAGCCGAGGCCGAAGCCCCATGCATTGCTCCGAGTCAGGGCATTGCTGATGCTGGGATGGTTGGTGTGCCGGGCATCCCTGATGCTAGCATGGTTCGGGTGCTTTGGCAGCTACGTGTGTTGAGGGTGATGTGTATGTTGGCATGTGTGTATGTAGGTACCGGTATGGTTTCATGCTCAGGACAAAGCTGCATCTACGGATATTGACATGAACGCTGGGACGGAAGTCGTGCCTTCGATATATCAAGACAATGCCAGGTTGTTTTTTGCATGCTCGTGTATACATCCGCACTAGCCCTTCGGTTTCTGGGTGTGTGTGTACGTGTGTGTGTGTGCATAAGCTTATATTATTGGATATAGCACACATCTATATGTATACTGTATACACGTGTAAGACTGTGTGTGTCTCCCCCTGTACGTGTGTACGCCTGTCATGTGTATGTATGTGCCTGTCTGTGTGTGTCTGTGTGTGTGTGTGTGTCTGTGTGTGTTTGTGTTGGTGTCCACGTATCTATGTGTATTTCTAAATAGATATCTATCACACTCTCTCTCTCTCTCTCTCTGTCTCTCTCTCTCTCTCTCTCTCTCTCTCTCTCTCTCTAGAACCCTGAGAGACCCGGTCTGTGCCGTCATGGAAGCACCGAGGCGAAAGCCTCCCCGGATGTCTGGGATGAGAACAATCCACCGAGCGAAGCGGATTGGAAGCTTTGGCGGGAGCACTATCAGCAGTCGGACACCGAATCCGAGGCTCAAATATTGATGCCGCCGTGCGGCTGTGCAGACGTTCGCTGCTAGATTAGCTTGCAGGCAGAAGTGGCACCCAAGAGAAAGTTGGAGAATGACTTGAATGCACCCCGGTCCATATCAAAAGAACCGCTGAAGCTAAATATCGCTAGCTAAGTTACATGGTCGTAGGATCTCGAGAAAACAAGTCCCAGGACGCAGATGATGAGGCCGACGAGGTCTTGGATTCCGCAGCCACCGACGCCGCGAAGGCCAAGATCCGGAGCCTTTGAACGGGGGTTCAGTATTGTTAAGCGATCCTAGAGATGCAGCAGGCCCCAGCTTTGGTCGAAGCCCCACGTGGAAGCAACGGTGCTTACAAGGAGCCTAGGGGAGCTTTAATAATGGGCTTCGATCAGATAATAATTAATTCCCAAAGGCTCCTAAGTACCTACATATATATAGTAGAAGGTAGGGTTTCCAGAATAGGAATTAATAATTCTATTACGGTTTGGGCCCATAATAATAATATGTAGGTACTTATGAGCCTTTGGGATAAATATGCGACGACATGTGGAACCGCTGCCCCGGCAGGACAGGGCACCCCTCATCGACCCGAACGCGGTCGTGCCCCTCCCTCCTGGCCTTGAAACCGTG